GATTAAGGAACCCCAAATAAAATTGAGTTTAAAAAATAGTGCCAACAGCTTTGGCTCTTGTACCTCAATTAATTGAATATACAATTTTTAAGTATTCATCAATTTGGGCTCACTTCTCTTAATCCGAAAACAAAACAAACAACAAAAATCCAAGATGTCACAACTGTATGACCAACTGGTGCCAGGTGGAATGCAATGCTCACACGTGGTCCAAGCTCTCAGCACTCAGGATACAGAGGCAAGCAGACCTCTATGAGTGTGAGACTGGCCTAGTTTACATAAAGAGTTCTAGGTTATAATTCTGCCTACAAACAAACAACAGAACACTGCAGACAGTAGTGATGGCACATGCCTGTAACACTAGGAAGTACAGGATGTCACAAAAGTTTAATGCCATCCACAGAGTAGTTTGAGTGAGTTTGAGACCTGTCTAAAATATAATCATAAAACCAATGACCACTTATATTATTTTAATATAAGCACAGCAATGGATGGACAACACAAAACAAACTGGCATTTTTGGAGGTTCATTGTCTCCTAATGCTTTCTCAGGTCTCCCCCCACCCCACCCCACGCCACTCCAGGTTCTTTGTGTACATTATAGTATCTAGTTTTGTGTGTCTATGGAATTCCTGTGTGCGAAAATGTGTGTGTCTCTGCGACTATATATGTGTCTTTAGATTTTCTTTGGCTTTTTTTTTCTTGTCTTGTCCGATTTTGGCTTGTTTTATTCTGCCTAATTTTATATTACTATTATTGTTGTTGCTGCTGTCATTATTATTATTTAGATCCCTGTTTGTAACATAAAGAGAGAAAGATGGAAAGGATATGAATTTGGGTGGGTGGGGATGTGGGAGGACCTGTGAGGAGCTGGGAAAGGGGAAGCCATAGTCAGAATGTATTATTTATTTTCAATTAAAAAAAAAGAAAAATATGTTCATGTTCTCTTTAAATCACTGTAGTATGCTAATTTTGAAAAGAGTTTGCAGGATTGCAATGATTATCCTTGTATTTTAATACAAAATAGATTTAGTAAAAAAAAAAAAAACAAACAAACTCAGAAGTCAGTTTCCTTCCCCTCCTGTGTTGCCCTGGCAGGCCTAAGACACACTGTGTAGACAAGGCCAGCCTCGACCTCACAGAGATCCAGCCTGTGTAGACAAGGCTGGCCTCAAACTCACAGAGATCCAGCCTGTTCATACTTACAGTAACGTTAAAGGTTAATGAAATCAAGTCTGTGAAACTTAATATGGACACTGCACAGCAGCAAGGGCAGAAAATCCATGACAGAAGGGCCAACAAAAGAGCTGCTCCCCTCCCGTGGCCAGGACGGTGGAGGCAGGGTGACAGGCGGCAGGGATAAGGTACCACGATAGACTCTCCCTTCTTGGATGCACCTTCCCTGCTCTACTCCTCCACACCCCACTTTCTCTGCTTCCTACCACACCTCAATTCAGGAGGAAGCAATCAATGCATTAATCCATGGATTACTCCATCGACCAGGCCAGAGACCCCTTATCCAGGCACTTCCCCAAATGGCTTTGAACCCTGTTCCACTGGAAATCAAGCCTGTGTTCACACCCGTGCCTCCAGGGCAGAAGTTCTCAGCCTATGGGTGGTGGCGCTCTTAGGGCCACATACCAGGCACTCTGCATACCATATACTGACATTACAACTCGTAACAGTAGCAAAATTATCAAGTAGCAACAAAGATAAAGCTATGGTTGGGGGTCACCACAGCATAAGGGAGATGTTAAAGGGGGGCAGCATTGAGAAGGCTGAGGAAGGCTGGTCTTGGGAATATTCTAGAGCTGAGTCCTAAGGGCCAGTCTGTAGAAATCCAAATGTAATCCACATGCAGGGATTCTCTCTCTGGCTCTGGATCTGTTTACACCAAACTGCTGATTCCAATCTTAGAGCCTCATCATAAAAACAAGTTATGCTCGTCAACTGACTGGAGGCTTGTGGGAAATGCTTTACAGCAAGTTTCACCTTTCCCCAGGGACGGAGTCGCAGGTCACGGTGTGAAAGGCTGCAATTCCAGCACTCAGGGAGGGAGAGGCAGGCAGCTCTCTGGGTTTGAGGCGAGCCTCTGTCTACAAAGTGAGTCCAGGACAGCCAAGGCTACATAGAGAGACGCTATCTCAAAAATATCAAAAAACGAAACAAAACAAGGGCAGAGTAGATAGTGGCATTTTAAAGGACCATTAGCAAGATAGTAAAATAAGAGGCTGCAGTCAGTCCCCTCCTCCATTCAAGACTAATACACAGACCAAACTCCTTTAAGACTCTGTGTCAATGGTTCTCAACCTGTGGGTCCTGACCTCTTTGGGGGTCGACCAACCCTTTCACAGGATTCACCTAAAACCACTGGAAAACAGAGACGTTTATGTTATGATTCATACAGTAGAAAATTACAGTTATGAAGGAAGGAGTGAAAATAACGTTTTATTTGGTGGTCATCACAATATGAGGAACTGTATTAAAGGGTCGCAGCATTAGGAAGGTTGGGAACCACAGTGCCATGTGGTTCAGTATGTTGTGCAGTTAAGCATACTGAACCCTAAAGGCTCATGTGGGAAATGCTTTGTCCCTAGGTCAGCAGTGCTGGGGAAGGGTGGGGTCTTTGCTAGGCTGTCTTACCGGAGTGTTTAGGTGGTTGAGATTGTGCACTCATCTCTTTATTAATCCTAATTCCTGAATTGTTACATTTTTTAAAATTTTGAAATGTTATTCTTTCACTTGTTTATCTTTTAAAGAATCTGTAAGTTTGTTTTGAAATTGCTATTTTTGTATTTGTATGGTGTACAGCTTGGGTGTGTGGGTGCTGCTGTGCCCATGTGCCCATGTGGAGAGGCCAAAGGACATCATCTGTCCTGCTCTATCACTCTGAATCTCTTTTTAAGTGTATTATAAAGAAGTTTTAGTAATGGTTCCCTAGAATAACAGAATGACTACCTGAGAAGGGATTAGACAGAAGTACTGGAAGGGTTTCAGATAGCCCAACAATGGTCACCTCATACTGGAGGCTGTGAATTTAGTGGTCATTTAGCCCACAAAGAAAATATTTTGGCAGTTCTAATCTGGCACTGGAGGCCCCGAGGATTCCTGGATGGCTGGTCTTCAATCTACCCGAAGCAGTGGGTTCTGACACAGGCTAAGGATAAATGAACTGGTCATTAAGAATGGGGGAAAGCAGTCTCTGTCTTCCATGTCCTTTGATCTGGACTGCCACCAGAGGGTGGCACCCACATTTAGGGGTGAGTCTTCCCTGTTTAAAACCTAACAAGAGTGCCCATCAGCTTGTTTTAGTTGACTCCAGATGCAGTCACCATGACAGCCAACAGTAGCCATCACACATGCACACAGAACAGGTAAGACTTCTCATACTAGTTGACAAGGAAAGAAAAAATATGAGTGGATAGAAGGTGCTAACTTAAATGTTGACACAGGTTAATGTGGTCCATTAAGCAGAGTGCTGTGCAGCAATGAATATGATGAGGTATACTTTTGTGGCCTACAAATGCTCTCACAAGTTACTGAGAAAATAAGTAAGACACATGTTGGAGTTGGCCTGATACTTGTGTTTTGGTGCTAATTACTGGCCCTCAAGATTCTGGTTACTGTCCTATCTTTGTTGTGTAAACCTGCCTAAGACACTTCCTCACTGGTTGATTAAAAGGCCTGTACCTGGGCAGGGGAGAAGGAGGTAGGCATGATTAAGGTTCCTGGGCTTTGAGGACAGGAGAATCACAGGAAGGAGACAGAGAGACAAGATGGGAAGAGAGCAGGAAGGACACCATGATGGGTTAGTGGACAAGGAACCACATGGGCCTGGAGAAAGGACTCCAAGAATGGCCGGGAAAGGCCCAGATGAAAAATGAAAGCAAGTATCTTGGTATTATGAATGGAAGATAGCCCAGATAGGAATGGATAAGGCGCATGGATGACATGGGATGAGGCTAGAAAATGAGACAGGCACAGGTGAAAATCTGCCCAGCCCAAGGTAAATAAAGCAATTATAAATCTAACAGGTGTCTGTGTCTGATTGATTGCGATGGTGGGTTGAATAATACTACCCTATCATTATAGGGCTAATAATACACATTATTTAATTCAACACCATTTATTTCCAACAACAACCATACTAAGCTTTAGTACTGTTACCCCAAATAATGGCTTTCTGACTCCCTTACCATGGACACCCTCAACAAGTATCACCTTTAGTAGGAATAAAACTTCAACTACTCTTGCATGTTGGGATATGTCTCTACAAACAGAAAGAAATCATGAAAGTTCACTTGGTAAGGTGAAACCTGAAGGATCCAAGAAGAAACATGACTAAAGTTAGTCTGCAGATGTCCTGAGACGACAGCCACGGCTCTCTTCTACAATCTCAGAATGTGGGAGGTCAGAGCAGCACAGTAAATTCAAGGCCTGGACCCGACCTCACACAAAGACACAAAGCACGGTGCCACTACTCAGCCCGGCCCAGAAACTATGATGAACTGCTTTAAAATAAAAAAACAAAAAAAATACCTTATTGTGGTATTACAATAAATATTTAATAATTGTATTTAAATTATAATAATCAGAAACATTTCTTCAATTGCTTAAAAAAGACTAATTACTTCACATCATTTATACCCATTTCTCGAGTCCCACATTCCTCCATTTCAGTGCTGCCATGGAAACACATTTCTGAGCAAGGATTTAATACACACATGACTGTGACTTCTCTAAAAGTCAAACACCTGGACTCTCTCTAATAAAAGTCACAACATGCTCACTGTAAGGGCAGCTAATGGATCGTCAAAAGAAGACAAGTCCTGTGAACAAGGTAAAGGCTGGAGTGCAAATTCACGCAAAAACACTTCTCTCTGAGACATCTTCAGAAAAATCAAATCGAAGCTGACTTAAAACTGCAATGGTTCTTTTTAAATCAAATTAATTAATATCTCAAGTAGTTAGATGAATCTCTTTCAACTTCTCCCATATTTTCAAAAATCATACCTATTAATTTACTTGACTATAACCTTAAAAGACATCTGTTTATTAAATATTTCATGCTTCCAGGAGGCATTTGAACCCTCAATAAAAAGACTTAATTTTATAAGTCTAACTGTTAACGATTCTGGGTTTTTTGTTTTGTTTTTTTGGCATAATCCTTTTATTAGCTAAATACAATTCTAATTTTTAACTCTGAAAGATTCTATTTAGAAGGTCAATAGTTGTGATGATTACAAAAGCTTCCAAATACACTTCGTTAATATCTGAATCAAAATTCTAGCTTCTCTATAGATACCATACAAGCACCTCTTGGAACTGTCATTGTATTCATGGTTATAACTTAGTTAAGAAAAGGTGCTTCCCCCCCCCCCTTTGGCCCATTCAGTTTCTTTTCTATCTGAAAATTATTGCCTTCTGGTAACTAATACTTTTGAAGTATTTAGGAGATAAAATGCTATCACTGGCCGTTTCATCATTACCACCTGCTCCTGTCTGGCACAGCTAATGCTTTCCCTGGCTCGCTGGCTCTAAAGCAAATACTGGTTTTCCTCCTGCAATTCACCCTTGTCTACTGAATCGGTCACCCAACGTTCTCGCAGGATTTTAAACTTTTTCTTAAGAGTTCTTCTGAAAACTTTAAAGTCCGTAACTCGTCTCTGATCTTCCCCAATGATCACATGAGAGACTCCCTCAGACAGGCAGGAAACTACTTTTGCTCCATGAAACCGCAGCTCAAGTGCTGTAACACCTAATCTCGTTGCTTCAATTTTGGAACTCAAGTCATTAATAACAGCATACAAGTCCAAATAAATGGTGTAGGTACGAAACATGCTCAGAGGAGAGTCACCCCAGGAGTAACGGTCTTCTAAGTCAGCAATCACGGAGGCCATTTCTTTAGGAGTCTGCTGCTCACTGGGTGTCTTCATTCTCAAAAACACTTCTTTCAGCTGATTGAAATCTGTGTCAACAAAATAGCTGTCACCATAGCAATCATATTCACAGGCAAAATGCTGCTTTGTTGCCGGGCACATGTGAACCATAAAGCGAGGTTGCCACGGCACACACGTTTTTGTTTTAAAACACTCTAAAAGCCACTCAGGCCTGATGACATCATGACTGTCTGAAGAGATGATGTTTTTCACTCTGATGTTCTCAGAGCCTGCAATCACGCAGTATGTATCTGGACCCGGGTTCTGCACTATGTAACCACCAAATTCTGCAATTCTGCTCTCTAGGTCAGACTTTGAATGAGCATCCAGTCCAGTCATAACACAAAACTCAACATCCTCGAACACATTTGAAACTTTGCTTATGTTAGAAAGGTTAGGTGCTTTGAAGTGTTCAATAATTCCAATGATCTTCTTCATTTTGGGGACGGGTCTCCGCCGCTTTTCTCTAGGCTCATTGTCATCACCTGCATGCAGGTGTTTTGTGGCAAGCTTCCCAGACGCCTTTCCCCTCAGCTGTTCCAAGTCTGCCAGTGTCATGCACTCATGCCAGTCTTTGTCCTCCCTGATCTTCTCGATGCGTGGGAAGCGCAGTGTGGAGCCAGTCCTGTACATGTCGCTGGGGACGATCTCTGCAGCCTTGACCTGAACAATGACAGAATTATGGGGCTCGATGTACACTTCCGGCTTCTCTGTTCCACACAAAATGCTATTTGGAGGAGATTTCTTATGGAAAGGCTTCCAGTGTTTGGCCAGCTTCAAGCCCAGATCATACAGTTCTTTCATGGTGTAGCCCGATCCAACACGGCACAGAGTGTGGAATACAGATGGCTTAACACCAGGAGGCGGCGTCTCTGCCACTGCACACAAGAAGTGAGACATCATGCCTCCTCGTGAACCTTTACCCCAGTAGCCCCCCACAATTAAAAGGTCTAGTTCGTCCATTAATCCGCTGACATACTCTGGCTTAATTTTCAGCCAGCCTTCACCTCTTTTGTCCGGCTTGTAAATGGACAGAGGGTGTTTAATCATGATCCCTTCTTCTCTCTTGTCTATGGCTTCATTTAATGCATCTACTACCTCCTTCTTTGTATGAGCTTGCGTTTTCTGCACTATCTCTATCCGACCTTGGATGGGTGTGAAAGTACTGCTAAGGATGTTGTACCTCTTCCTCAGGGTCTCACGACCCAGCTTCTTATTGTTAACCATCAGCACATCAAAAACACAGTAGCACGTCTGGAGGTCGGAATCCTCAACCATCCTCTTGATATCAAACTTGATCCCCTTTTGCATGAACGTCTGTGTGGCTGGGTTGTAGGCCATCATCTCACCATCGAGGATGCAGGCCTGCACGTCCGGCCTGAATGCGCCATGGATAAACCGGGTGAGAGAGCCTTCCTGAGGGGACGCCCCAAACTGATCAGTGTAGTTATAGCCATTTCTGGAGAAGTACTTGTACTGGGTCCCATCTCTGTGCATCTGCATGCGCTCACCATCCAGCTTGGTCTCGATGTAGAAACTCTGCTGCTTCATGTCCTTCTCCACGCGCTCCACATCTGCCACGGCAGCTAGCATTGGCTTAAAGGCAGAAAACAAAGTGATGGAGATGTCACTGAGCCCCACCAAGGGGTCGTGGAGTTGCCTGCAGACCTTCTCCAGATCTGTGGTGACGTTGTGCAACTCAACTGCATCGCTGTGAAAAACAGAAAGTATGGTTTGCTGGCTGACACCCAGCTTCAAGTCCTTAATAATCATGCGAATCAGCCACTTTTGCTCGAGGGCTGAACTCTGGGTGATTAGCTGAAGAAGGCTCCTTTTCACCAGGTCTTTTCTCTTGCCGGAATTACTGCTGGCAACTAAGTCTAAGAGTTCATTCACCTGCTGTATGCTTAAGCTTCCTTTCTGTAAGCACCGCGGCTTCAGCACAAAGTATGCGATCGTTGCAAAGTCCCCCGCATCCGTGCGAGCTCCACTGGGTGTTCGGTAGTTAAGGAGCTTCAAGGCGTCCTTGCCTCCTCTTGGTAAATTCAGCAGTTCGATGTAAAGCTTAGCGAGCATGGTTTCTTTGATTCCATAAGCCATCCGCTCTCTTTCTAACTGAGGAAGAATAAGTCTCATTGCTGGGTAAAATGAGTCCGTAACATCCCTCTTGCTCTTATGAAGGGCATCGTGGAATTTTCTCCAAGAGTCTAAGAATTCCTTGAAGTGTTTGATTTTCTCTGCTCGGTCTTTACTCTTCTGTATTCGTTCTAACGTGGAACATAAATCTGCAAATGGGACATGAGCTGCAACAGTTTGTGAAGTCTGTGAGGTCGCCATAGAAGCGGCAGCAAATCCTCCAGTTTTAACTGATAAAGCAAAAAGAGAGGACCTTTGAGTGGCAGTTGCAATCTATAAATACACAAGACAACAGGTTTACAGAGGTGACTTAGATCACTCTTCATGATGTTCACTCAAAGGAAACAGGAAATAAATGATGGACACACATGTAGCTTCTTCCTTCCATCCTGTCCAGCATTTCCTCCCAAGTGTCAACAGCTTCATCCCTGTGACTGAGTATCAGCTCATCTTAGACGCTAACACTCTGCTGGTATTATATCTAGTAACTGTTTAGCACTGAATAAAAAAAAAAAAAAAAAAAAAAACATGACTTCTAAATAATGAAAATAAATTTGGCAGATTTTATTTCTAGGTTTCTGAGAAAAGTCTATTTATGTTTCTTCATTCTTGAGTAATTATACAGCACCCAAAACAAACCACATGCCATCACTTTTTTAACAAATTGCTTACTCATTGGAGCGGAACCTGATTTCTTCGGCATTCTAAAATCCAAAACACAGCTGACAAACACAAACAGCTCAGCTCTCCTTGTCTTCCTTCCCTCACTGACAGCGATGACAAATTTCCCTGCTATTCAAAACTCAACTAGAAATCTTCTCCTCCAGACAGCCTCACTTTTACCTATTTTATTAGTTACATAAATATCAATTTATTATTATATTTTTTGTCCATATCTTTCTGCTTGCTATTTCCCAAATGTTCAGTGTCTTCATCTGAGCCAGGCCATATACTTTGGTCAATACAATGTACTTCTGCTTCAAGACAGCTTACATACTGTAAAGAGCAAGGAAGAGACAATCATAGCACATTAAGTGCTTTACCAAAATTAAAATCAAGATCCTAACCCTTACAATCACTGCCTTTTCACCAGAGACTTCTAAAATCAGATACCGAATAGGGTTTAGAAAGTTTCCTAACATGGATTCCACAGTGTTAAATTGTTTGAAGTTTTAAATATCCCTGTAAGTTCTATAGGAGTCTGTGTCAGTTACTTTAATGTGGTTTAAATTGCAAAACAGCCAGGCAGGCTTTCTAATAATGATTTCAAGTAAAACGTACGTTCCAGGAGCAACAATAGTGCTTTATCATGTGACTCCAGACAACAGCATCTGGCCAGGACGTGGGGATTATGAAATTCCCCTCATTCTCCTTCCACACTGCACGAAGAAAAGTCTCACATCAAATGGTCATTTGTGCAATCAGCAGTGAATATGGTGCAGGTTTGTTTGTGGAACTAATTATGGAATGCTTACAAGCGATTTGTGGAAAAGCACTTGTTAGTTCAACAGACAGCAGCAGAGCTGGCTCACAGTTTGCCTGCACTGGTAATGATTCACAGCATTAGTAGCTCAAGGAGGAAAAACCAAACCACTTCTCAGTATTATTGCTGACAGGAAACCCAACTAACACAGCGGGTGAGATCAAAACAAGGCTGCCAGGGGCTGTCTTCTGACATTTCTAACTGCCTGCCTTGTTGACGTTGATTTGCATAACTGACTGTGCCACCTGGTTCTTTCAAGTGGGCATACAGTAGTACATAATGCTAAAATGAAGTGTATCATGAAATACTTTCTGAATGTTCAAATATAGGTTCAGATAGTTCTATCTGTAGAACACATATAGTCTCAAACTTTTCACAGCAAAATGGAGCAAACAGTTCAAGTTGAGTTTATGATAATGGTGCATTTTAGGCAATGGTGTGAATACACATGCATCTTAAAAGAACTACAGACACAGAAAACAAAGATTTCAAATTGCTACAAAACACACAAACTGCAGAAGTTACACATTTTAATTTCTGCTGTTTCACCCGCTCTCCAATTTTATCTTATTTTACTGTTTTTTGCATTTTGAGGTGTGATAGTATTATGCTTTCCTTCTGCAATAAAGCAATGTTCGTTGGTGGGCTTCGGGTGCTGGAAGTTCACACGCACTCTTAAACAGGTTCACATGTGATAAGGTCGATCACCACGGGCTATCGAAGGTGCTCAACCTTGATTGCATTAATGCCTTCTTACCTACTCAACCCGTAAAACCCAACACTGACCAACAGACGAGGTCGCTGGGGGACAAGGGCAGCAGGAGGTAGTTGGCAGCGAGGAGGGCGGGAGGCTCCCCTCTCAGAAAGCATGCAAGCAATCAGAGAACGATTTCATTACTCAGTGCCTGCCAGGGCCCACCTCAAACGGCCCCTCTGCAGCGCGGAAGGCGTCTCCCCACCAGAAGCCCCCGGGAGACAGCGCTGGGACCACGAGCCCGCGTCCCTGCATCCCGCTCGGAAGCCCAGCCTGGCTCTGCCCGGAAGCCGGCTCCGGCGGGCCGCCAACCGGTCGCCGCGCAGGCGCAGAGAGGACAGGAGAGCCTGGCGCCGGTTAACGGGACGGGCGGGGCGGGCGGCACCTGAGCAGGTGTGCGCAAGGGGGCCGCGCGGTGGCTCAGAACGCATGCGCACCGGGCCTCGGGCCCGGAGGCGCTAAGGACGTTCCTCTCCGCACCGCTGGGTGTCGCCGTTGAGCCGAGCTTGCAGCATGGGGGTGCTGCCCGGACATGCGTGGTTTAGAAGAGAGCAGACTCCCTCCCAAAAGGTGGAAGGCTGCAGAAAAAGACTTTTGCAAAGTTATTTCAGGTTTTGTTCTTCATAGAGTTTTCACGGTTGCACTGTTTAACGCACAATTCGTAGTAATATCTAATTCGTGGCACAGAAACATACTTGCATGGAATACAAGCTCCTCAAATGTGTTCGGTGATTTGCAATTAAGTTAGCCGATAGTTTTGTTGAACATCTTACCGACAATGACTATACTAGATATTCAGGACAGATGGAAATAAAAACTCATGTTCTACAGTCCAAGAACTCTTGTCTTTCACTGGAAATGGTGGCTATGACCTGCCCTAGTCCACCAGTGAGAACTCAACAATTATGGGCAAAAGGTAAGAACACCACCTGGAATTATTTCCTTTGAAAGTGAATCTTTGCTGCCCTGGTGAAATGCCGGAGTGTCGGGTGCTTTTAGGGGTTGTCAAATGTGGCAGAAACTGTATTTCAACACTGACAGTTCGGGGCCAGTTTAAAGTTTAGCCTGAAGGGTCTGTGGCGAGCTTGAACGCAGGAGTATAGCTCTGGCAGGCTTGCCCTTCTCCCCCATTCCCTCTGCCTTGCTACAAACTGTTAGATTACATTCCTAAAGCTAGTGTCATCAAGGTCTGTTTCCTTTTCTGGCCATTTTGTCCTCCTGAGGCTGACTACAATATTACAGTCCAGCAATCAGAAGCCCCCTTTGCTTCATCTAAGTAAAATTCCCCATCAAAATATGCCACACCCTAGCCCATTCTAACACAGACCTACTTTTTCTCTTCTTAAAAGTTACACGCACAAGGTCATTTGCTGTGTATCCTCCAGAGTCAGAAAGCAGCCACTTCAACTTGTCTTCCCTGCTTAATAAAGGATCTCTGTGTGAAACCGAGTGCTTGGGTGTGAGTGGTGCCTAACCAGGGTGGAATGGGAGCCCTTTAGCCCAGGGTGCTCTAACAGCGCCAGCTCATATGGCTCCTTGTGACCAAATATCTTCTGTTTAGTTCGCCTAAATCTCCCGGATGTTAGCTGTGATATGGCCAAGCCACACATTACTGTTGAGGAGCACCTGCCATGTTGTTAGAGGACACCCAGGTTGCTGGTCGGAGAGATAGCTCTCCTCCTTCATCTGTGCCTTATTCAACAGCCCCTGTGCTCCCAAGTCAGTAAAGTGGAACATGCATTACTGAAATGAGAGGCACACGAATTATGAAACAAGAAAAGCTAGCAATTGATTCAAAGCCTTGATTCTAATATAGTTTGTTTTGTTTTTATCTGCATGGTGAGTGGAGAACCAAGTTTGCTTTCTTCTCACTGAATGAGAAAGGAAAGGGGGGAAAAAAGGAAAGGAGAGGAAAGGAAAAAGGAAAGGAAAGGGAAAAAAGAAAGAGAAAGAAAGAAGAGAGAAAGGAAGGAAGGAAGAAAAATAGAAAGAAAGAAAGAAAGGAAGGAAGGAAGGAAGAAACGAAGAAAGAAAGAGAGAAGGAAGGAAGGAAGGAAGGAAAGAAAGAAAGAAAGAAAGAAAGAAAGAAAGAAAGAAAGAAAGAAAGAAGGAAAGAAATTAAGAAAGAAAGGGAGGACATGACTGCGCCTAGGTATGGCGGAGGAGAAAGTTTATTGTAGATTAAAGGGAGAACATAGCCAAAAGCAGAAACATCTGGGCGCGTCCAGAATGATTACTACTCCGAGCTGGGCCTCGGGACTCTAAGAACCAGGTGCGTACCTAAGTGCCTCGGCAGGTCCACTTCGGTGAAGATAAACAAACAAAACACAACAAAACAAAAGCCGGACAGCGCTTTGCCTCGTGAACTCAATTCCTCTTTGCGGGGAGTCCCAGACTGTGAGCCGACAGGAGCCGACTGGCGTTCTTGCTCCTACGGGCCACCGTAGCGCAGGGCGGGGCCTCCTGTGCTGCGCATGCCCAGAGGGGCGGGCTGCTGTCTACTCCGGGGAGGAAGCCGGAGAACAGGTTATGTGGGGGCCGGCGGGGGCATTTGCCGGCGACACCGCGCGCGGGCCGGAAGTGCAGGCTGCGCCAGCCGCGCCGCAGGAGCTCCGGGCTCGACGGTGGCGACGGCGGCCCCTCGGCGGGAGGAGGACGATGAGGAGCGGCGGGGGCGGCGCGGGGCCTCGCTGCTGCGCGGAGCCGGGTTCCGAGCCCGCGGCCGACTGCGCAGCCCGCCCGCGAGCCTGAGTGAGTGCGGCGGGGACGCGGCGGCCTCCGCGACCTCCTCACCCCGGGTCCCTCCCCTCCCCCGCCCGGAACAGTCCGTCCCCGGACCCCGGGCTGGAGTCTGGAGTCGGAGGGAGGGTGCGCTTCTCTGTAACAGGTGCAGACCTGCTAACAGCGCGGCGGCGAGCGACGGGGCCTTAAAATCAAGAGTTGCCGCACGCTGGGAGCCACTTGGTCGGGAGTAGACTCTAGCACCGTTGGTGTGAAGCGAAAAAGCGTGAGGGGGTGTGCGAGGCCGAGCTGTCAACCTAAAACAGTCCCCTTTCGGCTCCTTTGCACCTGTTTGCGAGGCAGCAGCAACCGCGTGGTCCGCCGGCTGTTAAGTTTGACGTTTCGGTCTTGTTTTTTGCTGTCCTTTATTTTGTCGACCTGCCCCGTCTTCTGGCATGAATCAGTACTTAAGTGTTGCGTGCTTAGGCGTGTTCTAAAGCACAGCTTTATCTCGCTGGGAATTAATGATTGCCCTTGCAGAGTTGAGTTACGTCCTAACTGTGCTACCTAAGATACCCCCAGTCCAGCTATGAGTGAGTTGGACTTGCTCTGTAACCTTCGGCCTTGCTGTGCATTGAAAGTGTACAGTGGAGGAAGTAAGGTCACCGCCATCAAGGAACTACAGCCCGGGTAAGCAGGCTCATCTCCACGTTGGTAAATACTGCCACATAAGTTGGCACAGACGGCAGAATGGAACTGGTGGCAGTAGGGACAAGGTCCAGGGAAAGCTTGCTGGAGGATCTGTAACTGAGCTGGGTTTCAGAAAAATAAAGCTTTACCCTAATATCCTTACGACGTGCAAGGGTAATAACCACCAGTGAGTCGTTGCTGTGTTTTACCTGGGGTTCGCAATGCTTACCGAGACTTGCTTTGCTCTGATATGTAAGTGGCATCATTTTATCACATCCTAGGTATATTTAAGCTAGAAATATGTTTTACCCAGCTTTTGTGTATTCTGGAAATGGATATTCAGAAACACCAAGCAAGTTGGAAGGCAAGCCTCCTTCTCCATGTACAGCTACAGGTAGCCCATGGCCTGCTGCCTGCCTTGGAACATTGGAGGTAGCTTGACTTCTGAATGAGAGATTTCCTGGTTAGGCTCTCCCAGACCAGCAGCTGGACATAGTGCAGAAATTCAGGCACTGGGCTGTCAATCTCTTGTTAACCTGGAATTCTTTTGTGTTTCTCTTGCTCATTCATCCCTAAGATTCCAATATCTCTAATAGTTGTTGAGCTGCCTCAGGAAAACCTGTAAATAACCACTTTAGAATAGACTTAGGACAAGCCCCAGTTCTTGTAATAAAGATGTTTGGTGAATGGCAGGTTTCCTAATACGTATTATATTTTATGCCAGTGAGTTTCATAAGTCTTAGGTCTCCAAAGCATTGCATTCTGCTAAATTTCCTTGCCAGATGTGCAGTGTTTCCACAGCAAGAGCCGCCTACATTTAGAGTGAGACCAGGAACTCAAGTACTTCTGTGAAGTCTGCTTAATAAACGAAAATAAATTCCAAATAAGTTAATCTAAAACTTGGCCTGTTTACAATGGTTTATCATTCTACTGGTAACATGAGCATTTACTGTTGTAACATGAGCATTTACCTTTTTAGGCTTGACAGTTTCTTTTTGTTTACCTTTTTTTTTTTTTGCTTGCAGATATTTATAATCTTAGAACAAATTGTTTTTGGCTTCCATGGCTACAATAATCTGTCATCCTAGTTTTTTCTCAAGGTGGCTGCATTTGCTCAGCCCTTAGGATTTCAAGGAGAGAAGCAGAGATGATGCTAACTTCCTACCTGGAACAGTGTTTCCTTCACAGGTTCCCATGCTCTTTGCCTCCCCCCCCCCCCCTCCAGGGTCTTCACAGGCAGGTCCTGTTCATCTGTCCCCTAGGACTATTAAAGTGCACTTATTCATTATTGATGGCATGTGGGTAACCAGCAGGGAAATATAGCTTGTTCTGCAGTGTCTCCAGCACGCCGAGAGCAGCTGTTTGTGTTTGCGTTTCAGCCGTGCGGCTGGCGGAGTGTCAGAGCCCTCCAGTGATTAGCTGCAGAGCAAAAAAGTTTGTATGAGAATGGAGCTCTGTGTTCCTGCAAATGCGGCTGGAATCTGAATTCCCAGGAGTCAGGCGCGTCTTGCAGTTGTCCCCTCAGGATGTGGTTGTTAGTGGCGACCTATGCTCACGGATTCTTTCAGTCTCCAGCCAGCTAAACTTCGCCGTTCACAAAGGTCGTTTTCAAAGATTTCTTGCTGCTGGTAAAATCAGTAAAGAGTCATTTTATTTGGGGGGCAGTTTTCACCTTTTTTTTTTGGTAATTTTTTTTTATATTAATCACAGGTTGTTAACTTTGTATCCCAGCCATAGCCCCCTCCCTCGTTCCCTCCCAATCCCACCCTCCTTTCCTCATCTCCTCCCTGTCCCTTTCCAAGTCCACTGCTAGGGAAGGTCCTCCTCCCCTTCCATCTGACCCTAGCTTATCAGATATCTTCACGACTGGCTGCCATGTCCTCCTCTGTGGCCTAGCAAGACTGTTCCTCCCTCGGGGGGGGGGGGGGGGGGAGAGGGGGGTTAAAGGAGCCAGTCATTGAGTTCTTATCAGAAATAGTTCCTGTGTGAGACTGTTTTTCCAACCAAGGACCATGCATGGATATAATCTAGAACCTCTGCTCGGTTGTAGCCCATGGTAGCTCAGTAATCTAGTGGGTTCCCTAGTAAGGGGAACAGGAACTATTTCTGACATGAACTCAATGACCTTTTTTTAAAATATAAACTTGTCTATATAAAGAAATAGATCTGTCCAGTTTACTGCCTAGTTTATTACCACATTGACAGTTAAAATACATCCACTCCTAAAGCTGGTTTCAGTTACTCATATATTTGATAGTCTTTACTTTTAGGTGAAATGTTACTGTATATTGCACAAAGGATTTAAACAGTATACTGTTCTTAATTTGCAGAACTCAAGATTATGGGGGAAGGAAATAGTTACTTATATTACAGGATAGCTTTCAGACTTTGGTTTCAGGACCTGTATTTTTATGATTGGTTTCTATTTTTTTAACTGTGTGTGTGTGTCTGAGTGCCCATCTGTGTGCACACATGTGCTTGTATCTCTGCCTGCCTGTCTGGACATGTACGCCTGAGTGTGGTGCCCTCATAATGCAGAAGAAGGTACTGGAGCTTGCTGAGATCTGTCCAGCATGGGTGCTGGGAGTTGAACTCAGGTCATCTCTCCAGCCCTCAGGACCTCTTTGTATTTTCAGTATTATTGAGGACTCAAAAGAGATTTGGGTTAGGTAGATATCTTATTGCATTAGAAATTAAAAGTGGAAATTTGTGAATTAGTAATAAGTCCATTACAAAATAACAAGCAACATTTCATGTAAACCTCTTTGTAAGTGCATAAATAGGGCATTGTTAACCTTATGACATCACTTTAATGTCTTCTCAGTGGAAGACAGACTGCTGCGCTTCCGCATTTGTGCTCCCAGGTAAAGCATGCAGAAATAGACCCACACACCGCCATGGCTGCAGGAGGAGGAACTGGTTGGTGTTCTCAGTGCTGCAGCAGCAGGAGGTGCTTCCCTAAAGCGCACTTGTGGGGTTGGAACCTGTGTCAAAGAAGGCTTGGTGCTCCTGCAGTGAAAACCGCTGGATTTGTCTTCCGTTGAAATGAACGTGTTGGGTTACACTCCTGTCAGCTGAAACTCATGGTCTAAGTTCTTGCCTTTTACAGTGTGTTCACTGAATTCAGTGTTTTCTTGCTAATGGTAATAGTTGCTAGAAATCACACTTGCTGGTATCACCACCTCAGAGTTGTAGCATCTTCAAGTATTAGAAATTTGAAGTTTCACTCATCTCCAAAAAAGTCTTGTAAACATGTAGTCTGCATAAACATGATGTCTGTAGTTTGTCAGTTGCCTATTGACATAAAAATATGTCAGTGTGCAGAGGCAGCCAGCATACCCCACACTTGATACGTGTTTCCATGTGTAGCACAAGAACTTCGTGTGCATTCGCGGTGCACAGCGCGCGCTGCATAAGTTTTAAAGGAGTTAGCATACAGTGGACAGCTTTTACTGCCTCTTCACAGCTGTTACATGAACCTGGCTTCTCCCTTGCTCATCAAGCTCACAATTGGGAAGGCAGGGAAGGGCCTGCCTGTTAGTACTTCACGTAGATACCTCATCTGCCATGGCACACAGTGCAGATGTCAAGCACTGGAAGGGTAGATAACACCATAGCGTTATTACGAAGACAGTGCTGACCTCATAGACCTTCTGCAAGGTCTTGAGCAGCTCCCTAAGTCTGTGCCATCTATTGAGAACCTGAGGCATAAAACCATCCCTTTGAGCTGGGGCCTCTGAGGTCACAGAACTTAACTGCTCTGATTTCCCCTCTGCTGCTCTTGCCAAGTACTTCCTTAGATTATTCTGAATGCTTTGTGTTTCTATGAATAATTGTGCTAAGTGATTAAAGGTAAGTGGCAAAAGCAGCTGCTTAAATCAAAGTACCCTAGCCTTGTGCTCTGTCCTGCCTTTAAAAGATCGCCTCACACTTTTCATTCATTTCTTTTGTGATGGACAGGTAGTGAAGGTTTGAGTTTGTTTTGCTGTGTTATGCATGACTGATCTTTGGTTTCCTTTAGTCTCCTTTGTAACTGCATGAACTTGTGTGAGGCAGATAGAGACAGGGTGTATGCATGCCATGGCAACAGCTCAAAAATTGCTTGAGCTGTCAGCAAGCTAGGTGCAGTGGTGCACACCTGGAATCCCAACGCTCAACGAGGCAGAGGCAGGTGGATTTCGGTGAGTTTGAGGCCAGCTAGTCTACAAAGGAGTCTAGGACAGCAAAGGCTACACAGAGAAACCCTGTCTCAAAAAACAACAACAACAAAAATATACTCAGCAGATCATGAGCCATAGAACACTAAAACTGTGGCACATTGATCATGTTCAGTATAAATTTTAAGGAGCAGGATTCAGGGTGGTGTCCTTGTCTCTGGCATTGCCCTGGATCTTTAAGTGCTGTAACCCAGTAAGATGTATTGGAGTATTAATAAGCACTGCTCAGAGACAAAGCTGAGAAGCCAACTGTTAATTAACAGTGGCTCAGGTGGGTTTGACAGCACCGCTGGAGCCATAGCAGTATTCTAAGGGATTGGGGTAACTATGATATTGAACTCTTATTTTTTTGAAGTGGCAGTTTACAAGATAATTAAAATGCTTTTTTTTCTTGTGTGTGTGTGTGAGAGAGAGAGAGAGAGAGAGAGAGAGAGAGAGAGAGAGAGAATGTTACTGTGTTTACTTTGTGTGCAGGAGCCTGTGGAGGTCAGAAGAGGGCATTGGCTCCCCTAGGGCTAGAGCTACAGGGGGCTGTGAGCTGCCACTTGGGTGTGAGTGTAGTAGTAAGCACTCGGTGACTGAGCAGTCTCCCCAGCCCCTACATATATTTTGAAATGAAACTTTTTATCTTTCAGGAACATACATAAGTGAAGGGAGCACAGAGACTGATGAGCTCAGATGAGCAGTGCCAGTGTGCTTAGTATATTAAGTAGTCTTTCATTTTAGTCTCAGATTGGTTGGCCTTATGTAGGAGTTAGCTTTCCTTGTACCTCACTGAAGTAC